GTGGTGGGGGGTTCCCAGTGTCGTCTGCTGAACAACCAACTGGTACTTTTAAATAGTTGTTTTTAAAATTGTTATGTAGCTGTATCCATAGGAAGTTTGGAAAATAAAGGAAAAAATGTCATCCCTAATCTATCTTGCCAGCCTATAGTAACCTCTGTTAGCATCTGGCAATATTTTCTTTTATCTTTTAAAAACTTTTATGAAATAGCTGATATATGAGAGAGAGAGTACACACACAGAGCATAAAAGTTATAAAGCATAATAATAAATTCCCAATCTAATTCTTCATTCGCCTTTCAAATGTACTTTACATAGTCATCATTAGAGCATACATCCAACTTTGACCCTGATTTTTGTGCTGCCCACGATTTGAAAGGGCTCAGCTAAGGGCACTCGTGATTCAGGCCCTCGGGAGTCCTTAGGGTCCCCCCAGAGGAAAGACAGGAGCCCCAGCCTCAGTCTGGCTGGGGACGGAGGTGTGTGTGAGGGTGACCCTGCCCTCAGAAGCAGTCTGATGCCACTGCCCACCTGGCCGGGGGCTGTGGGCCCGGGGCCAGCCGTGTCCCCGGCCCAGCGCGGGGCCGTCCTCGCTCACGTGCCCTCGCGCCCCCAGGAGAAGGAGCGGCAGCGCCTGGAGAGCCTGAGGCGGAAGGAGGAGGCGGAGCAGCTCCGCAGGCAGAAGGTGGAGGAGGACAAGCGGCGGCGGCTGGAGGAGGTGAAGCTGTAAGTGGCCCGCCCTGCCCCCGGCTCTGCCTGGCTGCCGCGGCGCCCCCTGACCACCCTGTGCCTGCAGGAAGCGCGAGGAGCGCCTCCGGAAGGTGCTGCTGGCTCGGGAGCGGGTGCAGCAGATGAAGGAGGAGAAGAAAAAGCAGATCGAGCAGAAGTTTGCTCAGCTGGATGAGAAGACAGAGAAGGTGCGGGTCGTGGGCTTTGGGCGGGCTGTCCCCTGCTGGGGCCCAAGCAGGTCAGACCTGGTGGCCCAAGGGTTAGGACTGGACTCTGGGAAATTACAGGTTCGATGCCCTGGACCCCTTTTCTGTTTGTCCCAGGGGCCTCGGAGTTGGTTCTGAGCCAAGCTGAGGGTGGCAGGCCTCTGCTCATGACCGAGAAGCAGCCCTTTGCCGGTGGGTGGGTTGATGCCCCCGGGCAGGCCTGGCTTCCAGGCGCCCCCTCCTCTGAGCTCTGAGGAGCATGCTGGGTTTGCAGGGGCAGGGGGTGCCTGTCACAGAGCTCTGCGTCCCAGTCTGTAGGGCTGAGTGAGGAGGGCCCCTCCAACGAGCACATTGTGGGTGGGCTCTGCAGGCCAAGGAGGAGCGATTGGCTGAGGAGAAGGCCAAGAAAAAGGCAGCAGCCAAGAAGATGGAGGAGGCGGAGGTGCGCAGAAAGCAGGAGGAGGAGGCGCGGAGGCTCAGGTGGCTGCAGCAGGTGCGGATGCAGGTGGACAGAGTGTCCTGGGCATCAGGGAGGCGGCGGGGCCGGATGGGCACTGCCTCTGCCCCTGGGGCCTGCTGGGCATGTCCCACTTCGTTGGGTTAATCCTGGTGGGTCTGTGGCTTCAAGCCCTGAGGAGGTTCAGCAGATTCCTTGGAGACGGGGATGTGACAGTAACCTGCCTCCCGTTTTCTGTAGAGGTGGCAGTTGAGGGTTAAGCGCATGGACTCTCGAGCCAGACTTGCACTCTCAGCTCTGCCCTGTATGAGCTGTGTGACCCTGGATAGGTTACTCGACCTCTCTGTGCTTCGGTTCCTTCAGCTAGCAGGGGTCTGTACTTGATAGGGTTGTGAGGATGAAATGTTCTGCCTGTAAAGAGGAGGGGCCTACCCCTTCCTGGGAACTGTTGATCTTATGACTCCAGGGAACACAATTCTGTCATTAGGGGACTTACAATACTAATGGCTAAAATTACATGCCAGGCACTGTTCTCAGTGTTACATGTATCAGCTCAGCAACTTCATGAGGCGTAGCTATTCTTGTTTCCCCATTTGATCGATGGGGAAATCAAGGCCAGGGAGCTTTAGTGATAGCCCAGGGTTACACAGCTAGCGAGCGGCTCCACTCTGTACCCTTAACCAAATCTGCAGCCGCAGCAAAAGCAATTGTCACAAGATGCGTTTTCAGGCNCACGGGGCAAGCACTATGGGCAGTCTATCTGAAGTGTACCTGGCGTATAAGACGACCCCCCACTTGGAGGCATATTTTTCAGGGCCAAAAAATCATCTTATATGTCGGCAAATATGGTATATATATGTATGTATGTATGTATGTATATACAGTAAAATTTGCTAAAAATTATATAGTAAAATCTATACTTTGTAAATGTTGACTTCAACAATTTTTAGTATTTCATTTTTTGTCTTTTTTGATTTTTGTGATTTTGCTGTCATTTTGCAGTTTCTTTACTGGTTGCTGTAGGCATTACATACTTTCACAATCACTTTAGAATCGATTATCTTATCAGTTCAGTTGGCATTAGAAACCTTACTGCTCTCTCCGCTGTATGCTATCCTTGTCTTACATATTGATATTACATTTCCACACGTTGACTAACCTGTCAGACAGACAGTGTTAGAACTTTGCTTTTAGCTGTCAAACATTTTAAAGAGCTCAAGAGGAAAAGAATAGTCGATCGATATTTACCCAGATATTTATCATTTCTACTGTTCTTCATTCTTGATGCTTCACTTGTCCTGGTATCATTTCTCTTTTGTCTGGAGAATGTCCTTTAACAATTCTTTGAGAACATGTCTACTGGCAAGAAATTCTCTACTTTTCCTTCATTTGAGAAAGTCTGTTTCACTTTGATTTTGAAGGATATTTTCACTGAATATATAGATAGAGTTCTAGGTTAACAGTTCTTTCAGCACTTTACAAATGTTGTGCCACTTCCTTCTGGCCTCCATAGTTTCTGTTGGGAAGTCTCCAGTCATTCAAATTATTGTCCCCAGAGAGGTAATGTGCCTTTTTTGTGTGTGTGTGGCTCCTTTTGAGAATTTTTCCCTGTGTATTAAGTTTTCAGCAGTGTGATTATAGTGTGGCTGGACATGGGTTTCCTTGGGTTTATGCTCTTTGGGTTTCAATGACCTTGAATCTAGATTTATATTTTTTACCAATCTTAGGGTGTTTCCAAACAATTACATTTTCACATTATTTTTCTGCATTGCATTCTTTCTTCTCCATTGTGGAATGACAGTGGCACGAATGGTAGACCTTTTGGTGTCATCTCACAGTTGCCTCAGGCTCTGTTAATTTTTCTTCAATATCTTTTTCTCTATGTTTAGATTGGATACATTTTATTAATTTATCTTCATGTTTATTGACATCTGTCTTCTCCATCTGTTCTTGGACCCATGCACTGAATTTATTTCAGTTATCGTATTTTTAGCTCTAAACTTTCCATTTGTTCTTTAGATTTTCTCTTTTTCAAGTTTCCTTAAGAATGTTTGTGGTTACTTGTTAAAGCATTTTTGTAATAGCTGCTTTAAGGTTTTTGTCCATAATTCCAACATCTGTCATCTTGGCATTGGTGGCTATTGATTGTCTTTCCCCAGGGGAGTTGAGAGTATCCTGGTTTTTTGAATGTTGAGTCATTTTGGGTTCTATCCTGGACATTTTGAATATTATATTAGGAGATTGGGTTTTGTTTAAAATTTATGGAGAATGTTGATATTTTGCTTTATCAGCAACCCACCTGGTTTAGTTCAGGCTGCAGGTTCCAATCCACCTTCTGCCGGGTGTGGACCCAGTGTTAGTTCAGATTTCAAAGGCTTTGCAGTGCTTTTTTTTTTTTTTTCCTTTAAAAATATCTTTTTAAAAATTAAGGTATAATTGACATATAACATTGTATTAGTTCTGGGTTTATAACAATGATTTGATATTTATATATATTGTGAAATAATCATCACAGTAAGTACATTTAACGTCCATCATCACACATAGTTACAGAATTTTTTTTTTAAAGATTTACTCTGAGCAACTTTCAGATACGTAATACAGTATTATTAACTATAGTCACCAAATTGTATTACATGACTTATTTAGTTTATAACTGGAAAGTTATATTTTTTTACTTTTTTTACCCATTTGGCCCACTCCCACTACCCACCTCTGGCAAACACCAGTCTGTTCTCTGTATCTATGAGCTTGGTTTTTGTTTTGTTTTTTTAGATTCCACATATAAGTGAGATTATATGATATTTGCCCTTCTTGGTCTGACTTATTTCGCTTACCATAGTGCCCTCAAGGTCTATCCATGTTGTTGCAAATAGCAAGATTTAATTCTTTTTTATAACTGAATGACATTCCATATGTAGACTGCATTTTCTTTATCCATTCATCTCTCGATGGACACTTAGGTTGTTTCCATATCTTGGTTATTGTAAATAGAGGGTGCATACATTTTTCGAGTTAGTGTTTTCATTTTCTTTGGATAAATACCTAGAAGTGGAATTGCTAGATCATATGGTAGTTCTGTTTCTAAATTTTTGAGGAATTTCCATTCTGTTTTCAATAGTGGCTGCTGCGGTGCTATTTGGACCTGTTCTGGGTTAGCCAGGCAGCGGTCAGTCTGGGACCTGGCAGGTGGTGTGTGAGTTAAGTTCTCAGTTTTTGATGTGATAGTGTGATAGTTAGGGTCAGATCCATGCCTCTGCAGCTTGGGGCTGAGCCCAGGAGTTCAGAAACAACCTTATGGTGTCATTTTCGCCATCTCTCCAGGACTTTTCGCTTCCCTGGGGCTCCCCCTTACTGTCCTCCAGCCAGGAAGCTGGGGCTCTTAGTTACCCTGCTCTGCTGTGTGCTGCCATGACTGCGCCCAGGGCCATCTGGCTGGAAGACAGAGAAAGAAAAGAGCAGCAGTGTTTTCCCACTTTTGGGATCACAGCTCCGTCGTGTAGAGGAAGCTCCTCCTCCCTCTGTGGACTGCAGGTTCCCGTAACTGCTCTGTCTCCGTGGCCACACGATTGCTTGTGGACTGGGATGTGAGAGAAGAGAGAGAAGAAAAAAACAAAAACAGGGTTTCTGCATTCTCTGAACGTTAGATGTTCCCTTTCTACTCCTTGAGCCAGAACTAGAAGGCTTTTCCTGGAGTTCTCTCTGCACCCCGGTGATCCCTTTGGGGTTTCAGGCCTCGCTGAGTTTAGGCTGGAGGAAAAAAAATATGTCAAACTCACTGCTGGTTCAGTGATGCTTCAAAGTCGGATCTTCTTCCCCAGTCTGCCTGCTGCTGTTTCCTTTGCAGAGGCCTCAAATATGACTGTTAGGCTTTATTTTATTATCAGTAGGAAAGAGAGAGTGGAGTGTGTCTGCTCCATCCTACCCATAGCCGGAGCTCTCCTCTCTACCTTTAAGATTGTATTACTTCGGGGCCAGATTCCTAGGTGGGAAATCTGTAGTCAAGGTCA